GTTCACAGTTTTAGTATTGTTCAAGTGTCAAATTGTAATAACGTATCCAGTAAAGTTCTTGTCGTTTTTGTGAATAAATTGATTTAAAGTCCCCACAAGTGTTTCAATACGTAAAGTTCGTTCGTGTGTGTTTGTGAGTATTTCCCGATTTCGGTTCGTATATATTTTATTGTTACATTTTATATTTTTTTAATAACACTGTTCTGCTGTATTAAATTTTTATTTCCTTTAATATAATTTTTATGAATGCATATTCTTTTGGCAATTATCCCACTAGCGCGCCTCTGGCTCAGTATTTATCCGTCGATAACAATGGACAAATCCCTTAAAACAGGGTGATACCTACCTGCTCTTTATGAAACGACATAATTTTGCAATGGGGACTAGGGAAGTGACAGAATTTATTGACGGATCACCCTGTAGCGCTTTTGAATACTTAATGAGATTTTATTACTCTACACTCTTTTGAAATAGACTATAAATAGATACCGAACGTCGGCAATTTATTTGTATGGCAAGGGCGGCGTGGTATAATATTTATTATACTAATCGTTATTTTTATGTGGGATGTTTTATATGGTATTAACTAGTAAATTCATCAGACCCGGTACATTAGTCTTTCATTTAACTGTTCAGATTGACTTCGTCTAGACTATACTTGGAGGGTTTCCATTTGAAAACATAGTTTTTGATTATTTTCTCAATTTCATATTCAATCTCATTCTTCTTAATCTCCAGATGCAGTTTTATGTAGAAACAAAAGTTTATTCTCTCCTACTGCGTTTTTTTTGTACTCCTTCAGAAGTGGAATTAAAAAAATATATATATCAAAAAAGTAGTTAGAAGTTACCAACATTTATTGTCGGTGAATTCAGTTTCATAATTTTTTATTCTTTTCAGGATTGTGGAAGAACTGGACAACTCTAAATCAAACTCAGAATATGATCCGATGGCTCTATTGAAAGGAAGACACCTTCCAGAAGGTGAAGTACCAAATTTCAAGGAAAAAGATGAGGGTCATTCCTCGTTTCCTCTTAGAGATCTCTCAAGCAATATAAGGCAAACCATCTTACTCTCTGCAACAATGTCAAAAGGTGTTGCTGAGTTAGCTGACTTCACCATGAAAGATCATACTTATGTAGACACTCTCGATGAGTGGTCTGACCTGCACCCTGAAATGATGGTAATGCCAAACACTGTCGTTCAGAAGTTTATAGTGACACATGTAAAGCACAGACTTTTTACCTTGTCAGCTATGTTAGTAGCACAGGGAAAAAAATCTTCGAAAGTGTTTGTTTTCATGGGTACAAGTACTATGGTGGATTACCACTATGAGCTTTTCACAAGATTTTTAGCGAAGATGCCGAAGAATCGGGGAAAGCTGAAAAGTGGAAATGTTGTGCTTCTGAGTGGAATTGAAGAAGATAGTGAGGATGAAGAAGAGATTGTTCTAGATTTTGAGTTCTTCAAGCTGCATGGCAATATGGAGCAGAGTGCTAGAAAGGACGTCTTCACTAGGTTCAGGGCTGCGAAAGCTGGAGTTCTTCTTTGTACGGTAAGTACTGAAAATTTTTATTAGATTGCATGTACCACCTGTAAGATTATTATCGTAAGTAAGGAAAAGAAAAATTTCTGAAATGCAGTAATATTGGAAACGATTTCATCATTCTTCAAATTATTTGCAATTAGAATATCTAAATCTTAGCTTGTGTTCAAATCAATTATACAATACCAGTGTTTTGAAATATTTTCGTCAGCGACGAAAACGTATGAGTACAACAATGAAAAACCATCAGAAAATATAACTCAGTACGGCAAATAAAGAAAACACAATGTTCCAGTGGAAAAATGATGAGGTTCAATATTTTATCGGAATTGAGATTTCAGTTATATTTGTTGGCTAGTAACAAGAAATAACAACACGCCCAACGGCTCAGGAGAAAAACAATTCAAAAGTTAGGTTCCACCTCCTCTCTCCAGTCTTTCAGCATTTCTAATTCCCTTCAGTTCACTGTTTTCTGTGATTTACAACACATTGTTCTTAGCAGCTTCAAGTTTATTCTGTATACAGAAAAAACTATATAGTTTTTCACAGAATATGTTTCAATGGAACATGATTGTCTGGCATTGACCGCCTCGAAGTCTTAATTATTTAAACTATTTATAGACTAGTAGATCATCTGGAAGAGGTGGAAAGTAACACTAGCTTTTCAACAGAGCAGTCACAATAATTCATCAGTGAAGCAATAAACAGACGCTGACGTCTGAATTAAATGAATTGAAGCAAGAGGTAATTGTTTTGAAGAAAAATAATATCGACCTAATGTATCGAGGATGGTTGAAGTTGATTCGGAAAAAATTGACCAATATTCAACAAGAACTATCCAGGAAAAAATGTAAATAGAGAACACTGGACGGAATCTAAAAGTAATAACAGAATGAGACAAAACTAAGATATAATTCAAATACGATAGAAGGCAATACGGACTTTATGGGAGCACGACTTTAGCTCTACGTAGGCAAGTGTTAATCCCACTCCACAGTTGAAGGAATTGAAACATATTTTCACCAGATGAATACTTCTTCATACCACCGAGTCATGGCATCAGGAAGAAGATAATGATTCAGTTATTTCACATGATTATTCGCTAAGTTCTTACTTTTTCAGACATCGCCATAGTCGGGGTGTTATATCAATATATATTCAGAAACATTTTGTTTTCAAAACTGTTGGTTCAATCAAAAATTCGTCTTAGGTAATGCATTTTGAATATTGCTAACTAGAATTTATAGTGACATAAGTGGAAGGAAAATTTAAACTTAAATTGATTATTTTGTTACTAATATTGAAACCAAAAATTATAACAAAGACTTTATTGAAAAGAATTTCAAAGATCATCTTGGATCCATTTTTACCTTGAACAATGTTGCTAGTGTTATGACATTTCTAAAAATAATTCACTGAATCCTCAACACTACGAGTATATGTCCATGGGATTATTTGACTCGGTCCTCTTGGAACATAGCAATATTAATTTCATAATATATCAAACTTTCATTGATACCATTATGTACACAATTAACAAAACTTGTCCAATGGTAACCAAACGAAGACGTATTGAAGATTGGAAGAGAATTGAAAAAAATATTTTTCTCACTAAACAATTTGATAATACAAATTTGACACAACACTACAAAAAGTCGGAATGGCCGCAGGGTGATATGCGGTCACGAACGATCCCATTGGGGAACTGGGCGAAACCTCATTGTAATCAGCCTACCTCTGGTAATGCGGGGCTCTGCTAGAGGTGAGCAACTCTTCCCTTGCTACTCTTGGGAACACACACGAATGAAACAAAACAAAAACCAATCCCGAGGCTGGTCAGAAGTGCTCACCTCAATCTAAGGCGGTGGCTGGGGATGAACAGAAATGTCCACCCCAATCTACCGCATGGAATGAGGCTGGACATAGCAGATCACCTCCAACAGCAAGGGCACTTCCTGCGGCGGGTGCCAAGAGCTCCGCCATGAATAAAGGCAAGGAAACGGCTGCCTCTGCAGGAAAGCTCCCTCACTTGTGCACCTCCACGGAGGGAACCCCAAAGAAGGTTGAAGAAGCCGCGCAACGACAGTAATATCGCTGTACCTTCCAAAACCTTCGCGGAGGCCACCGTGAGATAGAAAGGAGATGTCTCCTAGTGACCTGTTCACCTTCCTGGAAAGGACAGGATGGACGATGACCTAGGAGGACAACTCTTCGGGAGGATGTATAATGGGTCACATGTGGTCTAAGTGCTGTGAGTCTACACTCACCCTCCCTACTCTGCAGATACCAGAAGTCGGAAAAAATGTATAATCAAAAAATCAGTGAAGTCAAAAAAGAAAATTTTTGATGTAAGTCAAATAACCAGAGTAATCATTCGTTTGGAATATCGTTAAAGAAAGAATCTGTAGATTTAATAATAGATCGAATAAACTCGAATTGAAGGTTGATAACACATTGATATCTGATGATATCAATATCATTGTTGATATCTATGGCAAGTACCTATGGTGAGGCACTACTTTTCGATCAAGCAAAAGCGTTAGATGTCATTAACATACACATCATTCAAAATAAATGTTATTCCATGGGATTCAGAGCAACTATCTGAAAACTATATGCGTCCAGCTTTTCTAAAAGAATCTGAAATAACTGATCTGACAATCTGAACATTTTCATAAATTGCTTGTCATTAAGCATTTCGATCTTGGTTCTCAACAAAATGTTCCACAAAACCAAAGACAAAAATCACATAGCGGCGGCGGCTCGTCAGAGGAGGCAAGGGAGGCTTAGCCTCCCCATAAAGTTTGAGGCTATTTATCGCAATAAATTAAAAGATATTGACACATAATTATGATTATTTTATTCTAAAAATGCTTGGGTATCAATACTTTAACATTAATTTTTAATATAAATATATAATATGCCCGAAAAAACACTATCACTCACTACGTAGTACGTACCACACTGTATCCTGCATCAACAAAACTCAAACGCACCGCCCATGAACGAATTACGAATAAACCATCAACACGAAATAATAAATGCCATACGTTGCAAGGGAGCCAAGCCTCCGACCGCTTTACCAACCAACGACATACGTCCCGATTTTTAATTTCAGTCGCAGAAATTATAGCGTCAGAGGAGGCTAGCCTCTAGTTGGTCTCCGTTAGTGTACGACTGTGTTTGTTTTTTATTTAATTATTCGGACGGGATGCCGTGACGGACCGGGACTGAAAAATATTTCGGTAAATCGTTTTAGTGTTTCTTGATAATATTTGTTATTTGTGTATAAAACAGGCAGTATTATATTAGGTATAGCAGTGCTTTTTTGTAATACTTTTAATGTGTTTTTAAAGTGTTTTCTTTCAATATCAAGTCAGGTTTTCACTTTTTGGTAAATTTTTTTTTCGTTTATTATGGATAAGTTGGGCGAAATTAAAAAATCTGACGATATAGTCGATTGGTTGCTGACAAATAATTTTATGTCTTTATCTTATTATAATATTTACATTATTGAAACTCTGGGAACGCCTCAACCAAATTTGATTTCAATTAAATCGTCAGATAATCCACAAAATCGAGGATTTAATATTAGTTGGTACGACAAATGCGATTGGTTAACCGGCTCCATTAAACGTGTTATGGGTTTAAATATGATTCACAATTTGGCACTTTTTTGAACGGTAGCGTTTTTTCGGGCACCTCAAAAACCATCCAAAATGAGCTTATAGACAGTGTGGTATATATTATTAAGAAAAATATAAGCAAGGAGATTGAAAGTGTTTCTTTTTTTGCATAGGAAATTGATGAAACTACCGATATTACCTGTACATCACAACTTTCAATCGTTGTTAGATATGTCAAAGATGGTAAAGTGGTAGAACGTTTTTTGGGTTTTCATGATGTTTCATCTGGGCGCACAGCTGACTATTTGTTTAATTTTTTAATTCGTACGTGTGACACCTATAATTTTAGGCAAAAGTTAATTGCGCAAACCTATGATGAGGCTGCGGTCATGGCCGGCCATTTAAATGGTTTACAAACTAAAATAAAGTCCATAGCTGAAGAATAGTTTTTCCCTAGCTACTACTACAATAGACATTGAATATCAGACATTTATGCAAGTTTTCTCACAGAAGAAGTTCTTGCAGGTGCTTCTGGTTCGACCATCGCTGATAATAATTGGTTTTGTGTTCACCTAAAGACCCTGTTTAGGGATGTTATCCCGATGTTATTCATCAAAAAAATATCATTTGTAGTCGCAACTTCTGTAAAATACCAAAGCGATTTTTTTTTTGTGTCCAGTTGATTATCACCTGGTTATAAAAGAGTTACCGATAATTATAAAAACGATGTCTGACAGAAATCCCATTAAATAATATCTAGTAGCCATTGTAAATAACAAAAGCGTGTATTCTTTCGCGGCCAAATAGACATCGATCCCCCGCGGAGATTAAAATGTGTTTTGTGTTGTGTTGAAAATACGTTAAGTGCGTTCTTTTGAATCGAAATGATACACATTTGATAAGTCAGAATTAAATTCGGTTGTTGAATAGGATGAAATAACTAAACGAATGTGTTTGTCGCGCGGCTGGAGATGGAACAAGAAGTATAAAAGAAGGGATTAGATGGATGTTGAATAGACGGTCATAAAATGTCCTTTGGTGGACTTGAAACGAATATTATAGATACTATGAAAATCCATCTGATCTAGCCTCAGTTGATAATTAAGAAATTAAACAAATTTTCTATTAACTCTCCGTAATGTATTTTCATTATATTCGAGTACAGTTGAATCTCACTAATCCGGCGCTATTAAAAACCTGAGAGTGCCGGATTATTGGAATGATCAGATTACTGGATCATAGAGAAAAAATCATAATTAATAAAATACTGTCTTGTGTTTCCGTTTACTTGACATTTTCAACTAAACATTATTCTCACTTCAAAACAACAGGTATATACGTACGCACGTGCACGTGATAATTTTTGAGGTTAGACTGCTAGAC